GGGCTGAGAGCTTGTTGTCAATGATGCTTGTGTTTTCCATGCTGCATGGCAAGAATACTGTACCTCAATTGTCTCAGGAAAGGTGGAAATAAGCTCTTCTGATTAAGATCTATTTTCTTATATTTTGTAATATCCTATTTCTTTAATAATCTGTAGAATTCTGGTTGCATTTTTTGTTTGTGTGTCCTGCTTCCTGGTCTTCTAATTTTAGTCTTGAAACTAGGTGGAGGGTTTTAATTACTAAAATCTGCTGCTGAAATTGTTTTCTTAGACAGCAGTCAGTAATAGATTTTTGAGTTGTGCAAGATACTCAACTTGTCTCTTTCCTGCTAGTTCTAAGGAAAAGGTGTCCTTGTTTGTCCTGTGTAGACTTTCCAACCTGTGGAACTCTATGAGTTTCAGTTAATGTTTTTCTGATTCATTCCCATTTTCATTGAGCAAATGTTCACCAACAGGGCTGTGGTCATCTTGCAGCACAAGCACTTTTACCCTTGCAGTTCTTTACAGTGTTAGCACACGGTGGTGCCACATTTTCAGCCTTTCTTCATATGAACAGTGTGACTCATGTTCTTCTCCTGCTAATATTGAACATTCAGTGAGTAGAATCGATGCAGAGTCTAGTAGGGTCCTACAGTGCCTAAGCCATAACTGTATCCATGGGTTTTAACTCGGTAAGGACTATCAGTGCAGGTATAAACCTGGGCATACGCTGACCACATTTACTACTTCTAATAGTTCAGTAGTTGGATCGAAGTTTATAAGAGAAACAGCAGTAAAAGGTAGACTAGATTAACCATCATGATGCTATGAGAACACAACTAGTTAGGAGCAAGCACTGGTAGTCTTACTGTTACTGTAGTATTATATAGCATTATATTGTTAATGAAATCTTTGAAATGAAAACTTATGAAATTGATGGCTAATCTGGGATGCCTCTTGAGAACATCTTAAGGAGCCTCATTTGCAGGAAGCAGAGCTTACCTGTCCTTGAAATACCATATACTAGACAAAGTGTTTCATTTGGGTTGCCCAAATACATAGACATACTCAAAATCACTTTAGCCTCTTGCATAAGTTCCTGAATTTTAAATTCTTTGTGCTTGCATCAGATGTAACCTACCAGCATCTATTTATCTGCATAGTTGGCAAAATGCAAATTCAAGGAAGTTTTCAGTGCAGTAGTTACAGTGTCTATATGGGGTGTCTAAAAAAACATATGACATGGTGTAAAAATCCAAACCTACTCTAGAAAACTGAATGTCAATAACATAAAGTGCCTGGCACTATTTCACTTTGCCACAAAATTCCCTGCTTCAATATCTTGCTTCAGTATCTTACATAGTGGCTTTTTAGAAGGCACTGTATAAGAAGTGACCCATGCTTCTGTGAGATGAGAGTGAAAATACCAGTGTAACCTATTTCTGGACTCTCTCTTCTTTTTGAATTTGTGGTTTGTTTTGATTTTTTTTTTAATTTTTCCCTCCCCTTTGATATTTCCACAGTTAGAAAATTACACTTCAGATTAGAAAGTTCCCTTAGGAGTTTCTGAAATCACTAAGACTGCTGGTATGGACATATTTTGGTTTTGTGGTTATGAATATGCTCAGAATCCTAAAGTAGGGCAAATCTAGCATTGGCTTCAGCAGGAGCAGACTTACTCTAAGAACTTTACATGAATCTATTTCTCAGTTTTTCTTCTGATGAGGTAGATCATAACTTTATGGGCCATAAGGTAGATTCCCATCATTTGCTGCATCCAGTGCCCAGTGAGGCCATGTGTGATGCCCTATCTGCATCAGCTCTACTCAGGAGCAAACACCTCAGAGACTCAGGGGCTCTGGGCTCTGCTACATCATGCACATTTCAGGAGCAAGGTTGGTGTTTGCAGGTGAGCTTAGACATGTCCTATACTGGTGTTGCCTTAACCAGCAGAGCAGTATGCAATATATAGTGTCAGGAGAAGTGCAAGATTACTGTGCAAGGCATGATGTCTTGCCTCAGTTCTCTTGCTAACAGGCCAGCAAGAAAAATAAAGCTCTTGTGATTTATACTAGTGGACTAATTTCCACAGTAATGTGAAATATGATAGTTCAAATGGGTAAGAACAATGACAGCTGTTACCATTTTTGACAGGCAATGGGTTTGGAGCTTGGTGATGAATTACACACTGTCTAGGGTTTGCTCAGCTCACTTATCTTCAGGATGACATTTTTTTTTTTTTCCCTTTAAACAAAAATGTATTCTTACATTGTTTGGTTGGATGTTGAGGACTGAACACTTTGTGTTCAGTAAAGAATTCTGCTTTTTTGTAAGCTCTTGTTGGAAAACAATTCTGCACAGATTCTTAAGAAAAAGCTCTGAATGTTTATCCTGCTTTGATAAGGTAGAATAATGTTCTTTGTTTTATCTTTAATTATATTTTAACTGGACTTGTAACAAAGATGCCCAACTTGAGTTTTGACGCGTTTTGAGCTAAAACGTCGTTAAAACACATAACTCTACCTGAATTTCAAACTTGCAATTGCCTTTAGTGAAAGGTGAACCATATTTTATGTTTGCCAGGCCAGACTCAGAGTTACTGGAGACATGGATTAATGCCCCAGTTCCTTGACCCATTTCTGTGAAACTGCTAAAGAGCTTTACAGGATGAGTCAGAAGGGGGAAATGCAGGCCAAGTGGGGATGGTGTATCTTGTAACAGCCTCTGTGACTGGCAGAGCTTTGCTCCTTCTCTTTCAGTAACAAATACAGTGAAGCCTGGTTTCAGGTCTCTCTCTTGACGGGGACAAGGTAAAATGTGGATGGGGTTAAGCAATAGCCAGATATTTGGCTAGGAGGAGAATGTGCATTTGCAAAAAGACCTCCCTGGCTGGGAAGTTCTGCTCATAATGCAAGAGATGAGCTAAAGCAGTAGAAGCAGCAAATGATTTTAAAATCCTGTGACATTGGTGACGGTGGCCACCTAAGCTCAAGGCTAGCAGAAAATGGTCTGATTTGTTTGCTTTTGCAGAATCCTTATTGCTGCCTTTATTTTAGAAAATACTATTTTAGAGGCAAAACTGCTGCATTAGAACAAACCTGCATCTTTCTCCCACCTTGGTCACCACAGCGCAACAGGATCTTCCAGACTTAGTTTTGCACCTCTTTAAATCAGTGATATTGCTTCTTGGTTTCTGATTTCCACAGGAACTAGAGCCAAGTTTTAAGTTTTTGCCATTTCCTCTGCTTCTAATTTCACTGGCATCAAGTTCTGACTGGTTAATCAAATGTCTTTTGTGTTGCAGGTGCCTTAATATTTATTTTTATTAGTGCACCAGTTGCTATTTTTAGCTCTCTGGTCTTTGGGATGGATGAATACCAGCAGAGCTCTTAGACCATAATAAACATGTGTTTTTAACCTTGCCATTTATTTTTATGTCCCTGTATCCAACTAATCAGGATGTGGTTATCTGTGGAGGTGGTAGACTACTGCTTCAAATTTCAATGCACAGCCACATACAAAAATATACATTATAGAAGGCTATAGGCTAAAAACACCAGGACAGACATTTGTCTGGTTTTGAGGACTGTCAGTATTGGACTGAGAGACACTAGCACAACCTGGTTTCTGCTTTGTCTTTGTCCTTTGATTCCAATGGACTTAGTCTGCTTGATATCTCTGGAATAACCAACAGCTTTCTGCCTCACAACTGATGCCTAATGAACAGTATAAGGCAGATACACAGCAGGGTAACCAACTAACAGAAACGTGTTTAGAATATATTGAATAAGCCAAGGTAAGAAGCAAAGTAGTGGGTACAAAAGTTTTATCTTCACTTTTTTAAACTGTATTCCAAGCACTTTTGTGGCTTTTCTCTTTTGTAGTGTGGGAAAAAGTGCAAAGCCAATTATTTTTTGCCATATGTTTTTTTGCCTGATCTTACAGAAGATTTGCTAAGCAGGGGATAAAATAACTATCATACATCATAAAAATGTATTTATACATCCTTTCTGTTTCTGTTTTTGCCAAGAGGAGAGTCAGCAAAGAATGGCAGAATCAGACTTGAGTTATACTCTGCATCTGGCCCTGGTAACAGACTAATCAGTAAATTAGCAGATTTCTTTGGCACTAGAGGCCACAGTCTATTTCTTATCAGTCATTTGAATGACTCTCACCTGCAGAAGTCAGAGGAACATTAAGCTCTGTGAGCTAGATCTAGAAAAGGGCTTAAGGGTTGCAACCCATATCCATGACCGAAGAAATCCCTGAAGCCAGCAGCTTCCTGACCTTGCCAAAATTTAAACCTCTCTGCTTGACTTAAGGGCTCTGCAGGCACCTGCAGTTCTGCAACTGTGCTGACCTGGTTTGAGCAAGAGGACTGCGCAATGGATTGTAATTGCTCAAGCTTTGGGAAAGCTTGCAAACTTTTCCCAGATGTGGGAGCTATATGACTTTCCTCCAGGATCCCAAGGGGTCTATGGTTTTTACTACTATTAATTCACACTATCAGGATTTGGGGGGGTGTGAAAATCAGGGTTGCTTGAAAAATACTGCTAGGGAGATCTGTGATTTCTGTAACAGCTTCAAGACTCCTACCTAACATATGGGGAAGTCAGGGTCAGCCTCGAGAACTGTGAAACACACAGACTCTCTCTGCTTACAAATGATGGTCTAGTTATCTGGTTTTAATGCAAGTTTACTCTCATTACCTCTCCCCTTCTGCAAGAACTAGGCCGTTGTGCAGAAAGGAATTAAAAGATCTGCGGGGTCACTCGAGGGTTACTAAAGGTAATTCAGCTAGTGTTATTTTAATTTTTTAATGAAGTGACTTTGTGTTAACTTTCATAAAAGATGCTAACAGCCATGAGAACAGAGAATCTTACTGCTTGCTTTCCCTTCTCTAAAGTCTTTGGAGAGAGACATGTTCTCGTGTAAGGCCTCGCACTGTTATTTGCCTCTTCCCCTTTCTCTGATCCAGGAACATGGCAATGGAGCCATTGACAGCTCGTTCTCCTTTGCAGATGCTGCAGTTTCAGCTGCTTGTGGTGCATTTGACCCTTGTGGTTACCCTGCTGCAGTGGCAGTCTAGCTCGGTGCTCCTGGCCAAGGCAGCTCCAGAGGTAGGTGAATATTCCCGATGGACACCACATAACCCCTCTCTTCCTAGGAGAGCTCCCAGCCACGGGATGTGGATGATACCATGGTCTCCTGGTCCTCATGCCATAAAGGGAGCAAGTATTGACTCTTCAAGGGCAAAGCTGAAGCAGGGCAATTTCTGCAGTGAAAGGAGTGATGCACTTTGCATGGTTCTGAGAGGGCTCACGGAATTCAGTGCTGCCCAGTTCAGTTGCTCCTGAAACACACTGGGTTTTCTGTATGTTAAAATATTGCGCAGTGTCGGGGAGAAAGTACCCTGCCGGTGGGGGGAGGGAGGAAAATTTTCAGCTAACACTGAAAAAAATTCCAATCCTCTCCTTAAAAGACAAATAATAGTGCGAGTCTCATAGTAGTGAGATACTGTGAGCAGTTCTCAGAAGCTGTAAGGAGAGGATTGAGGGGAGACACCCTTCATAAAACTTAGTTGAACGAGAGAGGAGAGGAGAGGAGCAGTAACTTGCCTAAGTTTGCAAAAGAAACCTGTAGATGAAATGGCAGAACTGATGTCTTGTATTTCATCCACTAAGATATGCACTGATTGTACCTTAAAATACTTCTGGTGAATTCTTTTGTTGTTGTTTTCTTGTCATCTTGACATAAAACAGATGTGGCAGCAAAGATACTTATGTAATGGTTTCATGTCATGAAAGTCAGGGATCTAAAAGTTTAATCAAAGCATCACTATTTGGCTGTAGGGTCTTTACGCAGATTTTTTTTCCCTCCCCTCTTTTAAGACCAGCTTAGAAGCTGGGTGCGCATTGCAGAATACTGACGCACCCTTCTGCCTTGCTCCTTCCAAGTGAACATGCCCTGGCTGTGCCAAATGCCCCCTCTCCACATCAGTGCTACAGCAGCTGCTGCTGTGATACCTTGAAGAGCTGGTACTCGATGGCAGATGTTTGTGAAGAGAATATAAGAACAGGACATCTTCAGGCACGTCCTGGTCCAGACTGGATCAGTGCATTTTTTTAGCTGCTGTAAAACTGCTTTAGCTGCTTTAAACTTTTGGTGTCTTACCACATTTGGCAATGCATTCTACTTCGTCTGTGTGCTGTGTTTAAAAGGTAGCAACTTGTATTTATTTTAAATTCACCACCTGGTGGCTTTGCCAGTGAAGAAATGGGAAACTCTTTTTCTTAATAAAATATTATTAGACTCTATTTATCCATTTGCTTTTATATAACTTTCTAAGCGTTTCACTGTAATCCACTTCCATTCCTTTCTTGGCTCTTCTGTGAAGTTGTGCTGTCTAGTTATTCATCATAGTTGTTTAGTTCATCATCATAGTTAAAAAGTATTTTTACTTTCAAGTTTGAGCAGTGTTCTAGATATTATGCCCACTAAACAGAGAGGAGAGTTCATCCTTCTTTAAAGGCACAGTTTGGTTGCAAAGTTTTGGCAACAGTTGTGTACCCCTGAAAAAGAGCAGAAAAGCCAACTAAATGCCACTTAAGGCTCAGAGAAAAATTAGGAGAATAATATGAGAGCCTTCCAAAAATATTAATAATGCTGTGTCATTATTGTGATTTTTCCTGTCATTTGATCATCCTTATGTCGATGTTGCATTTTCCTTTTATACTATCATGCTTTATGCCACCCGCCGGTAGTGAGATGTCACCATCACGCTATGGTGTGAACCACAGTAGATGTGAACATTTTACATTATCCCTATGATGGTTTCCTTTACGTTAGTATTTAACACACTGTGTAAGAGTAAGAAAGATAGTGGCATGATTCTGAACATAGAGGAAAGTCAGGCTTAAGGCGTCTAGTAAAAGTTTTGTTTAGGGTTTTCCTTTTGCACTTAATGCCATAGAGATCAACTTGAACAAGAAGCCGCATTTATGGCATAATACCTACCTTCATGCAGTAACTGCTGTCTTTTATTTTTCTGTTATTTGCAAAGCAAATACTTCACTTTCATTTCATGTGTTTCATTTCTGCCTTGATAAATCCCAATATTTTCAGCTGTTCTGAATGACTAAGTGGAGTTTCTTTATTTTGTTAAGGTATTAAGCCTAATGTCATAACTGAGGTTCAAAATTCTGTGTCAAGTCTGTATACTGTTCTTTACTTTCCTGCTCTTCACATACTGTTGCTGTGTAATGCTACTACTCAGTTTTTTGAATGTTAGTGAGTTGATTCTGCCTTTTTGTTTGTTTGTTTTCATCATTTGTTCAATTTGGATGGAAAATACTGGATACATTTTCATTACTACTTATTAGCATTCACTTAAAAAGAAAATCACTTTCCTGAAAAATATCAAAATGGATATCAGAGCCTGCTAATGGCTATTGCATCTTTAAAAAAGATGAAATTACTCAGCTCAGGCTAGAAGTGATGCCGACCACACTGTTAAAATAGGGATAGTGGGGTGCGCTGGTTCACAAAATATGAAATAAAAAAAAAGTTATTTTGATAATAAAAAACATAGTTATTTTAATAATATTAGTAATAACAGTGAAAGGGGAGTTCAAGTCTATCAGATATCTCAACCATTCAGGGCAGCCTTCTGTGACTGGACAATGACTAAGTTTCACAGAAGAGATTTTGGTTTAAAATATTCTGGCAGGTTCAGTGACTCTTTTAATTATTCGAACTGTTGCTTGCTGTCCTTGAAATGATTTTTTCTGGAGCTTCAGCAGCAAGCAAACATCCTTGTTTTCTTTTTCAGTCTTTGGAGCCTTCTAATGTGACAGGCATGGGAAACCATCCCCCTGCCAGTGAAGAGAAGTTGGCCATCGACCTATCAGCCAAACTGTTCCTCCTTGATGAGTTAGTGTCACTGGAGAATGAGGTGACCGAGACCAAGAAGAAGAGAAGCTTCCCAGGATTTGGCTCCCCAATTGACAGGATTTCTTCAAGCTCTGTTGATACAAAAGGCAAACAGAGGTAAGCTCTCTGGCTCCTAACAGTGATGAAATTAGAAGGCCTCTGTCGGTAGATTATCCAGTATGTGAGTGGCTTATTTTTAGTCCCTAGCAAATTCACTAGGCAGTTGTGAGGTGCCTCGTATGAGGGTACCAGAATCTCTACAGAAACCACTCTGTCCAATGTGTAATTCTTCAGCTGTGATGAGTAACACATGCTGTGGTTCCCTTATCCCCACAGTGCCATCCGACTAACTGGAACATTCAAGGACATGTATTTTTCTATACACTTCTTTCCAAGCATGTGAACTATCCTTCAGTATAAAACTGCCTTTTAGATCATGAGACTATTTACCACAAGAATGCATCTGAGGTTAAAAAACAAAGGGGCATGACTAGGCGTATTGTAATGCACACTCTGAACAGAAGTATGAAGAACACATCAGAAAACACATTACAAAATATTAGCACACAGATTACAAAATGATTCTCCAAGAAAAAAGCTTCTGGAACTTGATCTGCTCCTGATAAGCTGGGCTTAATCAATATAGCTGTTCTGTTCTATGATGAGTTTGTTAATATTTGGGCCTTCCACGCTGGAAGATATGTTTATAACTATGAGGGCTAAGGAATGATGATTGGTATGTCTGAGGAAAGCCAGTGAGTTTGGGACAAAACTAAAGGGGCTGTTCACCATATCTGAAAGAGCTAAACCATCCTGTTTCTTCCTTTCTTCTGGTTAACTGTTGTCTTTTGGATGGAATCCCCAATGCCACAAAGTATTTAATGACATACTTAAAATTTAATCTGGAAATGGAAAGTATTCACTGGAGTCAGTCAACATTAAATGTTCTTACAAGTTCTTTTTTTTTCTTTTTTTCTTTTTTTTCCCCCCTTCAAGAAGAGTTTTGCAATATTTTCTTGCTGTTTTTTCCACTTACCCACCCAATCTGCTACTAGGAGTTTTTGACTGCAGCCAAAAGTGATAAAGTAGAAAAATTTTAAAACCTCAAGTAGGGCTTTTTTTGTCTGTATAGCTCTGCATGCATGAGATCAAAACCACTAATTCTTTGTGTTTTTAGCATATTTTTCCTCTTCTGGGTAACAAATACTAGATCATTTTTGAAGTTCTAGCACCTTTTTGCAAAAATATATGGTAATCCCAGCTCGTCATGTGCTTTCTGAATGGCAAATGAGTTCCATTCTATAGGCAATAGAAGAAAATAACGTGAAAAAGGAAAAGGGAAATTTTGTGGAAAACTGTCCAAATTTTCTAGCAGCTTTTCTCTGAAATCAAGTAAAGATATCATGAAAACAAAATAACCCACTGCACAAAATTCTTCCCTTCCCATCATCATCTGCAGAGTTTTGCTTGAGATTATCACTTTCAGAGAGCATTTGCAGGAGTAAAGCAGAGAATTTTAAAAGCACAATCTTGTTTAGAACCTGAAAATTGAGCAAAGGGTCAGTGAAGGAAGCAGGGATTATGCTGCCATGGCTTCACATGGCCACAAGAGGGGAAGCTCAGCTGCAGGAAACCTCCTCATTTACACAACATATTAAAGCAAACTTCTCCTGGAACAAATGCTCAGAAACACTAAATTCT